GCTATTGCTGTCATGGCCTGCTCGATGGGGTTGATGGCCTGGAAGGGAGTGTTGTGGGGTGGTAAGGAGTGCAAAGGGGTGGAGTTGGAGTAAGGACAGTGTAGCAAACCCATACGTCTTCTCCATGGCATGCAGAGGGAAGTCCTGGTAGAAGCGGGCCTGTATCTCCGCCAGTGCTGTCATGGCCAGCTCGATAGGGTTCACCGCCTGGAAGGGAAAAGGTGCAAAGGAGTGCAGAGGGGTGCAGTTGGGGTGAGGGGGGCTGGTGGTAGAAGCGGGTCTGAATCTCCGCCAGTGCTGTCATGGCGAGCTCTATGGGGTTCACTGCCTGGAAGAGAGAGGGGGGTGTAAAGGGGTTCACAGGGGTGAGGTTGGAGTGCAGAGGTTTGGAGCTGGAGTGAGAGAAATGGAGACGACACAGGAGAAGGTGGTAAGAGCGGGTCTGCATCTCCGCCAGTGCTGTCATAGCCAGCTTGTGGCACTTAGTGACAGTTATGACTGCACCTTGCGATGCAGACCCCATCAAAGCCGATGAGAGAGCACCTTGTGTGGCAGGCCCGAGTGGAAGAGCTTCCCAAACGCCTTGAGCTCTGCTCATGGCACTAAAGAGAGCACGTTGTGGGCTGGGCTGGGCACGTGATTCACTTCTATGTGAGCCAAGCACAAACCACTTCACCTTGTGCGGCAGCCCCGAGTGGAAGAGCTTCCCAAACGCCTTGAGCTTCCATGCCAGCATGCCCCCCGTGCCTATGCACGGCTGCTTGTCTGCCGTGTCCACCCAGAAGCTGCCACGTGGCATGGAGGGGACATAGAGGCAGAGAAAGGATGGTGAGAAGAGGATGGACAGAAGGTCTGAGTCCTGGGACGATTCTTGAGATGAGTTTTGGGGAGAGCTCGCTTGTCCGCCGTGTCCAACCAGAAGCTGCCACGTGGCATGTGGGGGACATGGGAAGCAGAGAGAGGACGGAATGAGAGAGAACGGTGCGGAGAGGTTGCACGAGGTCTCTGAGTCTTAAGAGGTGTCTTGAGGCAAGTTTTGGGGCAAGTTTTGGGGCGAGGTTTGGGGCGAGGTTTGGGGCGAGGTTTGGGGCGAGGTTTGGGGCGAGGTTTGAGGCGAGGTTTGAGAGACGAGGTGAAGGGAACTTACAGAGGTCCGTTCTTGAGGTGGTCCAGCAGGCCCGCCTTGACCAGCCCATCCACCCCACCCCAATATCCTTCACCGTCGCATTCTCCTCGTTGTGAGAGGTGATGGGAGGAGGGAAACAGGAACTCACAGGGGTCCGTTCCTGAGGTGGTCCAGCAGGCCTGCCTTCACCAGCCCATCCACTCCAATATCCTTCACTGTTGCGTTCTCCTCATTGGCTATCAGCACCGCCACCACTGTCGCGCCCAGCTCCGGGCGGCAGACTGCCAGCTGGCGCATGAGCTCCGTGACGAGCGCCACGTGGCCCAGGCAGTCCGTGGTGCCGCGGCCTCTCAGCTTGTCCCCATCTCGGGAGAATGTGAAGGGGTCAAAGTCCTGGTAAAGGAGAGGCGAGGGAAGAGGGCGGACGAGATGAGAGAATGTGAGAGGGGGGAAAGAGCTGTTAGCTGGCTGGCAGTCCGTCTGGACGAGAGAATGTGGGTGAATGAGCTCCGCGACGTGACGAGTGCCACGTGGCCCAGGCGGTCCGTCCGTTGCGCCCCTGCCTCTCAATTTGTCTCAAAAGGTGAAAGGGGTCGAAGTCCTGGTGAAGCAGAGGCGAGGGACGTGGGGTGGGGGGAAGAGAGAATGTGAGAGGGAGGGGGCAGCGCATGAGCTCCGTGACGAGTGCCGCGTGGCCCAGGCAGTCCGTGGTGCCTCTGCCCCTCAGCTTGTCCCCGTCCCGAGAGAAAGTGAAGGGGTCGACCGTCGAAGTGCTGCAGAAAGGGGAGTGGGAAAAGGAAGGGAATGTGAGGGAGGAGGAGGGAGAGGGCACCCTCGCTGACGCCACCCAGGCAGTCCGCGATGCCTCTGCCCCTCAGCTTGTCCCCGTCCCGAGAAAAGGTTAAGGGGCCGAAGTTCTGAGGAAGGAGAAGCACAAGGAGCGGAAGGCAATGGGGGATGAGGGTCAGGGCACTATAGCTAGCTAGCTAGGCAGGCAGACCGGGATGGTACCTCAAACCAACCCCGGAAAAACTAGTGCCCACCTGAGAACACTCGGGGTAGCAAGGATAGGCACCTGCGGCCGCCATTCTCGGGTTACAACCCACCCAGTCATTGGAGTTGGCGGTGACGACGTCCATGTGACATACAGCCCACGAAGGAGAGCACGTTGGAGGGGTGCGAGCCCTTGTACGTGATGATGAGATTGCCCCAACCAGGCCAGGTGCGAACCCCAGCAGCAAATACCCAAACAGCTCACCCAGTCGTCAGGGTTGGCGGCGACGACGTCCATGTGACATACAGCCCATGAAGGAGAGAAGCTTGGAGGGGTGCGAGCCCTTGTACGTGATGATCAGGCTGCCCCAGCAAGCCCGTGCGAGAACCCTTGAACGTTACCCAACCCACCCAGTCACACTTACAAGATGCTGATGCTCACCCAGTCATCAGGGTTGGCAGTGACGACGTCCATGTGACAGCCGACGGAGGAGGTTAGAGGGGATGGTGGCGCCTGACCTCACATCACTCGAGATACATAACCCATATGTACACTAGAAAACACAACCACACCCTCAACACACTAAGACCCACCCAGTCATCAGGGTTGGCAGTGACGATGTCCATGTGACAGCCGACGAACGAGAGGAGGTTAGAGGGGGATGGTGGTACCTGCCTCAAAACCCCCAGGAAAGCTAGTCAAGTGCAATCATACAACACAAGCAAATTACAACAACCCACCCAGTCGTCGGGGTTGGCAGTGACGACGTCCATGTGACAGCCGACAAAGGAGAGCACGCTGGAGGGGTGCGAGCCCTTGTACGTGATGACCAGGTTCCCCCGCCCCTCCACGTAGCTCACGTGCTGTATGTGCAGCGGGCCTCCCTCCTCCTCACTGCACCCAGCATGGGGGGAAGAGACCAAGGGGGGGACAGACAGAGGGGGTGAACGTGCGACTTCTTTTATGTAACGATCATATCAGGTTGCCCCGCCCTTACACATAGCTCATACGCTGGATGTGCAGCAGCCCGCCCTCTTCCTCACTAAGGGGGTGGAGGGACGGAGGAGAGGACGTTAGAGGGATGAGGGCCTTTGTACGCGATGATGAGGTTGCCCCGCCCCACCACGCAGCTCACATGCTGTATGTGCAGCAGCCCGCCCTCTTCCTCACTGCACTCAGCACGAGGGAACGAATGAAGGTGGGTAAGTATGAGGGTGGATTTTGACGAATGGCTTCTGGAAACCGTGGAGAAAAAAAAAAAAAAAAAACCAGAGTGACTGTGGAGAAGATTATTACGAGAATGACTGTGGGTTTGTGACAGGAGCATCGATAGAGGCACCTGCAGGGCTGAAGCACGTTCAGATCAGAGCATGTCGCACTGCAAGCTGCACGCACAGTCGCCGTACCTGAAAATCAGTATCAGACTTCTCAAAAAACACGTCCAGAACATGTCACACTGCACTCTGCACGGTCCTGTAGGGCTGTAGGTTGATGTAAGAGAGGTACTGATAATATATATATATATATATATATATATATATATATATTCAAGAAATAGATACCTGTAGGGCTGCAGCACGTCTAGAACGTGGCGTACTGCGCGGTCCTCCTTGGGCACGCACTCAGGAGGGTTGTTCTGCCAGCCAGCGGGGCATTCGATACAGTCACGCAACGGAAAACGATGGAAACCAAGCTTAAGATTCGAGGTAAAAGAGGGACCGGGTTGAGCCGTAACAGCTGTCGGTCCTTCAACTGGCAAAACACGAGGAGAGGATGGCGCCTTTCAGAATGGTCAAGAAAGGACGATTTTGGTCGTTGTAAGCACGCATTCTAAAAAATACGACATGATACGTACATCGCAGATGATTACCAAAAAAAAAAAAAAAAATCAACCTACCAAAATAAAAACGGGGATAGCTACGCCAGTGAGCCTTTCCCCAGCTACCAGCTGGCACGATATCAAAGATCATTAGGAGAGGCAGACGAGTCGCGAAGCTATCCTCACCTGAAGGTATCGCGCCTCGTTGATCAACTTTTCCAAAAGCGCCACAAATCTGTCCTCGTCTAACTGCCAGTCCAGGATCGGCGGAGACGCCATGGCCAGGAAGCTAGAGAATAGGGAGCAAGGGAAGTGCCGTTATGCTGAGAGCGAATACCGGAATTCGTGAGTCAGAATGGCGGAAATGGAATTCCAAGCGAGTTCGTTCTGTTGCGAAAAAATGTGGCCAATCTGGTGCAGCTGTGAACCATCGATACAAGCAACCTTCAGACGAAATATTATGTGCAATGTATGGTACTTTGAGAATTTAGTAATTGTTATCATGCTGGTATCTGTAGTGACATTGTAATGACACGCATCACCTTCAGTAGTATCTCAATTAAACCATAATAACAAAATAATCACGTAAAACCCGGTATGTTTCACCAAGGGTAGCGCTTATACACCTCATGTTCCTGTTTCTGATAGTCATGAATTTGTGTTTAATTATCCGATAAGATAAACAGGGACTACCAATTTAGAACATCTCTGCCTATAACGAGAGATTTCCAGCAACAATCATGCCATCAGCTCACACACCTAGAAGATTCGCGAAGCCCGCACACTTCGGCCGCCATCGCACGTTCTTCGCCAGCCATTCGTCAAAGCACCCGCCACAGCTAAGCCCGAAACCTCGAGAAGCATACATAGCCTTTCCTGCCTTGCTTGGCTCCCCCACTAGGCTACATTTTAGACTCTTTACTCTATCCGCCCGCACGACAGTTTCATTCTAGACGTCTCACTCTCTTCTCTTTCCCTCGGAGGCTGCAAAGCAGATTGGAGCAGAGCACAGCACCGCGCGGAACCGTTCAGCACAGCAGCGCAGATCACAGCGCCGCACGATGCTCTTCTGGGGTACGTGGATCTCATTGGCGCCGATCACGCCACTCGGCCTTGCGGCTCAAATAAGCGGCTCCGATCAGCCTCGTCCCAATTGGTCCCAATGCGTGTTTGCCGCCATGTTTCGTGCCGTGCCCGTGTCCTCGCCCGTTCTTCCCTTTCCTCGTGTCTTGAATAGATTCAAAGCGCTCCGAATTGGTCCCCTTTTCCGCTTCCGCCCCGTCATCCGCCGCCTCGTCCCCGCGTGCCTCTGGTGATTACCGATCCGTCAAGAAATAAAGAACCCGCGATCGTCGTAAAAGCCATTTTGGTTCTTTACAAACCCGATTACCCAATCGTGTAGCACCTCTTGCGATCGGCGGGCGATCCGCGGGAAGAGGAGCACCGGGATTGCCGGCTGGATTATTGAGGAGGGCTATAATCCGACAGCCCTGGGGGCTCTGGGACCTCGGTTGATCCGCATCAACTAAAATGTTTCCCCGAATAACATCCTTTGTTGATCCTCAGTCTTCCCCCCACTCTTTCCTCTCCTCCCTCCCCACACCCCTCTTCCTCCCCTCCCCCATCCTCTTCATCCACCCTCTCCCTCGCTCGCTCTCGTTACAATCACGTGGCGCCAGGCGTGGAGGTGAAGCAGGGCGAGCCAATCGTGTGCGACCCTGAAGATGGCACCGGAGGGCCGCTTCACATCTCCCAGGTAAACCCTCCCCCAGGTGGACACCAAACCAGGCGAAATCATTTTTATGCAGATAATTTTATTGGTAAAGCCCTTTTCCTGTAGGGATGCGGCCTTTTCCTGGTAGAACCTTGAAGCTCTTAAATCTTAAACCCCTTTCAGGGTTTTCCACGTGTGAAACCCTGAACCCTTCGTTGCTCTGCCGGAACAGTTGCGTACCCGCTTCACAATTAAACTAGTTCTTTAGAATCCCCAACTTGCAATACTGCAACATTCTTTAAAGCTCCAGTATACATCTGTCAGTGGGGTTCGGGGTTTTACAATGTGCCTCACGTTTTTGCCCCAAGGTTTCAAGTTCCTAAGGACTTTGAACCTCAGCTTTTCAAGTGTATACCGAAGCGAACCAATGAGAGTGCCCCTAGTCTGTTGGCACCTGAATTGCAAGCACACTCCCAGGCTGTTCTTTCTCTTTCTGTCCCTTCTCATTTTCCACTGGAAATTGTTACCCCCACTGTAATCCACTTACCTCACCGAGACGTCAACCCCGACCAAACCCCGAACTTAAGCCCTGACCCAACCTAAACCCCGACGTCAACCAATATAAACCCTGACCTGTTCTTAAACCCCCGGCTACCCACGGGCTTGAGTTCTCCTCAATAACCGCGTGCAGGTGCGTCTGAAGGCACTCCCACCTGCCCAGCACCCCCAACTTCTCAACCTGTCACCCCTCCCCCTTTCTTCCCCTCCACCCCCCCCCCCCCCCCCCCCCCCCCCCCCCTCCTCTCCTCCCCCTCCCCCCACCCCCTCCCCACTTAACCCCTCAGGCTGTTCTCGGGGCTGACTGTCCCCTCGACAAACGCGTGCTGGTGCAAGTCAGAGTGCTAGCAACGCACGAGGAGGAGGGGAAGGAAGGGGAGGAATTGGACGACCATGTAGCGTCCGGGAAAGCAGGGGAAGCAGAGGGGACACCGAAGAGCAAGGGAAGCCCGGGGGGGAAGGCGAGTCCGGGGGGTAAGGGGAGCCCTGCAGGCGGAAAGGGGAGCCCTGGTAGCAAGACTGGCTGTGCCGTCACTGGTTGCTGCGACCCCACCATGACCAGCAAGAAGGGCAAGAGCCATAGTCACGGTGCTGGTTCCGCTGCTCCTGGTGCTGCGGCTGATGCTAGCCGTCCGATCATGATCTGCTCGCTTACCGCGGGCGGCCCCATGGAATGCTGTCCGTTGGATCTGATGATGGACGAGCCGTTCGAGATCAGCCTGGTGGTGCCTGGGGACGGAGCAGGGGCAGCAGGAGAAAATTGCTCGGTGCATTTGTCGGGGTATTACATGGCTGAGGGGGTGTTGGGAGGGGAGGAGGAGCATGGGGAAGAGGGCGAGGAGAGCGAGGAGGAGGGGGAGGAGGGAGAGGAGGTGGATACTGACGAGGAGGACGCACACCTTGCAGGACTGCCGCTGTAAGTTTAGATTACAGATAGCAGCAGAACTCATTCATTTTGTAGGCCCCCCAACTGAAAGGTGGATACGGGTGAGGCGGGGAGGACGCACACCTGGCAGGATTGCCGCTGTAAGTGTAGATTACAAAAAGACCAAAGTCTTCCTCTTCTAGCCATTTCTTGAGGCGCCTCAAAAGAGGTGGATACGGACGGGACGAGGTGTCAGGGTCTGTTTTTTTAGAATTCTCAAAAGACAGACTCACCATTTCTTGAGGTGGATACGGACGAGACGAGGAGGACGCACAACTGGCAGGCCTGCCGCTGTAAGCTGGATCTCGTTGACTAGTTGTTTATTTCGACATCACTCTTTTGTCTTACAATGGCATGCCAGTCTATTTTGTTGCCTGCACAACCCCTTTCCGCATGCCATCTGTTTTCCACCTGTTTCCCACCATGCCTGTTTTGAGTTTCTGAGTTGACTGTAGAGCTGCTTTCCCTTCTCATATAATAAACCCCAAACCCTTCTACGTTTTTTTTTTTTTTTTTTGCCGGCTTTTTCCAACTGTGTTTTCTTGCCAGGGATTGGTCGAGGGCAATTGTAGATGATAGCGAGGAGGATGATGAGGAGGAGGATGAGGAAGACGACGAGGAAGATGAGGATGATGAGGAGGATGAGATGGAGGGGGTGGTGCTGGCGAACAGCAGCCAAACGGGAGGTATGTTTGAGTAGCGTGTTTTGCCTCCTGATGGCTCCAGTTGAATGGCAGGGGGTGGTGCTTGTTGGCTAACGCAGGGAGTGGTGCTTGTTGGCTAACGCAGGGAGTGGTGCTTGTTGGCTAACGCAGGGAGTGGTGCTTGTTGGCTAACGCAGGGAGTGGTGCTTGTTGGCTAACGCAGGGAGTGGTGCTTGTTGGCTAACGCAGGGAGTGGTGCTTGTTGGCTAACGCAGGGAGTGGTGCTTGCTGGCTAACGCAGGGAGTGGTGCTTGTTGGCTAACGCAGGGAGTGGTGCTTGTTGGCTAACGCAGGGAGTGGTGCTTGTTGGCTAACGCAGGGAGTGGTGCTTGTTGGCTAACGCAGGGAGTGGTGCTTGTTGGCTAACGCAGGGAGTGGTGCTTGTTGGCTAACGTAGGGAGTGGTGCTTGTTGGCTAACGCAGGGAGTGGTGCTTGTTGGCTAACGCAGGGAGTGGTGCTTGTTGGCTAACGCAGGGAGTGGTGCTTGTTGGCTAACGCAGGGAGTGGTGCTTGTTGGCTAACGCAGGGAGTGGTGCTTGTTGGCTAACGCAGGGAGTGGTGCTTGTTGGCTAACGCAGGGAGTGGTGCTTGCTGGCTAACGCAGGGAGTGGTGCTTGTTGGCTAACGCAGGGAGTGGTGCTTGTTGGCTAACGCAGGGAGTGGTGCTTGTTGGCTAACGCAGGGAGTGGTGCTTGTTGGCTAACGCAGGGAGTGGTGCTTGTTGGCTAACGCAGGGAGTGGTGCTTGTTGGCTAACGCTACCCAGTGTCCCCAAAGCCCTTCATTCCCCATTGTCTCTCCCATCTCTCTGTCCCTCCTTTCTCTCTGTCCCTCCTTTCTCTCTGTGCCTATTTTCTCTCTGTCCCTCCTGTCTCTCTGTTGCTCCGTTCTCTCTTCCTACTTTGCATCATCACGCAATTCCTCCCTCAACTTCTCCTTCTTTCCCTGCTCCGCACAGCGTACTCCCCACCTCTTCCCCCCTTGGTGATTCTTTTCGAATCAAAGCCACCTCAGTGCCTACTCCCCACCTCTCTCCCTTTTTCTTACCCCCCTTCTTCCTCCTCCCCCCTTCCAGTGCGTATAGTAGAGATTACGGACGAGGAGCAGGGAGCAGGGAAGGCGGCTGTAAAGGCTGTAGCATCTGTAGCAGCTCTCTCAACGCCGTGCCCGTGGTTCAGGAGCCCAGTGATTATGCTGGCGGCAGTATTGCCAACGGGAAGGAGGCGGCCGTAGCAGCCGTTTGCACATCTTTGCTTTGTCTTTCCCCCTCTCCTCGCCTCCCCCCACGCAACCCTTCCAGTGCGTATAGTAGAGATTACGGACGAGGAGCAGGGAGCAGGGAAGGCGTCTGGAGCAGCTGGAGCAGCTGTAGCAGCTCTCCCCAGCGCGGATCCCGTGGTTCAGGAGCCCAGTGCTGCTGCTGGCGGCACTGCCAAGGGGAAGAAGGGCGCTGCAAAGGATAAGAAGCAGCAGGGGCAGCAGGAGAAGGGGCAGGAGCAGGGGAAGGGGAAGGAGCAAGGGAAGGGAGCAGCGGCGGCAGGGGCAGCAGGGGCGGAGAAGAGGAAAGGAGAGGCGGGTGCAGCAGGAGGGGAAGCAGCGGCAGCGGCACCACCAGGGAAAAAGAGCCGCGTGGCCCAGCACAAGTGAGACCAATGTACCCCTTTTTGAGACGTTTTTTTGAGAATATTGAGCACAAGTGAGACCACTGTACCCCTTTTTGATACTTTTTTTGAGAATATTGAGCACAAGTGAGACCACTGTACCCCTTTTTGAGACGTTTTTTTGAGAATATTGAGCAGAAGTGAGACCACTGTACCCTTTTTGAGACGTTTTTATGAGAATATTGAGCACAAGTGAGACCACTGTACCCCTTTTTGAGACGTTTTTTTGAGAATATTGAGCACAAGTGAGACCACTGTACCCCTTTTTGAGACGTTTTTTTGAGAATATTGAGCAGAAGTGAGACCACTGTACCCCTTTTTGAGACTTTTTTTGAGAATATTGAGCACAAGTGAGACCACTGTACCCCTTTTTGAGACTTTTTTTTGAGAATATTGAGCACAAGTGAGACCACTGTACCCCTTTTTGAGACTTTTTTTGAGAATATTGAGCACAAGTGAGACCACTGTACCCCTTTATGAGACGTTTTTTTGAGAATATTGAGCAGAAGTGAGACCACTGTACCCCTTTTTGAGACTTTTTTTGAGAATATTGAGCAGAAGTGAGACCACTGTACCCCTTTTTGAGACGTTTTTTTGAGAATATTGAGCAGAAGTGAGGTCACTGTACCCCTTTTTGAGACGTTTTTTTGAGAATATTGAGCAGAAGTGAGATCACTGTACCCCTTTTTGAGACGTTTTTTTGAGAATATTGAGCAGAAGTGAGATCACTGTACCCCTTTTTGAGACTTTTTTTTAGAATATTGAGCAGAAGTGAGATCACTGTACCCCTTTTTGAGACTTTTTTTAGAATAATGTGCTGAAGTGCGACCACCGGCTTCTTTCTTGAGACGTCAGGGCAAAGCAGGTAGAGCAGGGATGGCAGGTAGAGCAGAGAAAGAAGGTGGAGTGTTTTCTACATTTCTCAGGAACTCTTTTCCCTTCCTCTCCCTGTTAACTTCAGGGATGCCAAGGCAAAGCAGGCGGAGCAGAAAAAGAAGGCTGAGGAGGAGAAGAAGAAGAAGCAGGAGGAGGTGCAAGCAAAGAAGCAAGCAGACGAGGAGAAGAAGAAAAAGAAGCAGGAGGAGGACGCAAAGAAGAAGAAGCAGGACGGGGAGGCATGGGCAAAGGCGAAACAAGCTGCAGCCGCAGGGTCACCAGGAGCAGGGGAAGAGAAGCAGGGGAAGACGAGGAAGCGGGTGTTTCCGGGCGGCATGGAGGTGGAGGAGCTGAGCATGGGCAAGCCCGATGGGAAGGTGGCAGAGCCGGGGAAGAAGGTGAGAATGGAGGGATTGGCTGTGTGTATGTGTGCTTGCTGCAAGAAGGAGTGGAAGGGGGTATGGAGGTGGCGGAGCTAGCTATGGGCAAGCCCGATGGGAAAGTGGCTGAGCCGGGGAAGAAGGCGAGGTTGACGGAAGGGCTAGGAGGAGTATGTGTGTTTGTTCCCTGGGTGCTTTGGGGTCAGGGCATGCCGTGGATTGGAAGGGGGCATGGAGGTGGAGGAGCTAGCAACGGGCAAGCCCGATGGGAAAGTGGCTGAGCCGGGCAAGAAGGTGAGAAAATGGTGTGCGTGCAGGCAGCTGGGTGGGGGGGGGGAACGCAGGCAGCTGGGTGAGAAAATGGTGTGTGTGCCAAGGTTGTTCCCGGGAGGCATGGAGGTGGAGGAGCTAGCAATGGGGAAACCGGATGGGAAAGTGGCTGAGCCGGGGAAGAAGGTGAGACGGGTGGAAGGGGAGAGGTGAGCGTAAAGGTGAGTGTGCTTGCATTGCATGGTCATGTCCCCTGGGTGATGTAGAGGGTCTTGAGTCACATCATGTTCCTTGGCTTAATGAGGGGCATAGCGACTTGTGAGACGTCTCAAAAGTCATTGCACGGTCATGTTCCCTGGGTGATGTTGAGGGTCTTTTGAGTGAGGGATCATGGTTATCGGCTTGGTTGGTGAGGGAGGGGCATGTTTTGAGTCGACTCAATACTTGAGTGAGGTATCATGCTCATTGGCTTGGTGAGGGGCATAGAGGTGGAAGAGATGAGCGGTAGTACCTGAGGCGATTTTTGAGTCGACTCAAAAATCGCCTCATCACACGTGGGAGAGACGAGCGGTAGTACCTGAGGCGATTTTTGTGGTGGAAGGGCTGGGCTGGGCTGGGCTGTCCGGAAAAGCCACGTGATAGAAGTAGCGTTTTGAGACGTCTCAAAACTTCACTTTCTACAACAAGTAGTGTTTTGAGTTGAGACGTCTCAAAACACTACTTCTATCACGTGGGCTGTCCGAAAAATGCCGCCTGAACGCCCCCCCTCCACACCACACACCCCCTTGACCGCCTCTCAGGTAATGATGACCGCCTTTACTTTGGTCGCCTCAAGAAGAACGGCAAGGTCTTTGATACCTTCAACCCCCTTCCTCCCTCCTCCATTATCACTCCCACTCTCTTATCCTCTCACCTCAAGTGATGATGAATCGGTCGCCTCAAGAAGAACGGCAAGGTCTTTGACTCCAACCTCACCCATCCCAACCAACCCACGCCCCCCCCCCTGCTTAATCCCCTATTAACAAACCCCTCTCCCCCACCCCATCCCCCTTGCCTCTCAGGTCATGATGAGGTACATTGGCCGTCTCAAGAAGACAGGGAAGGTCTTTGACTCCAACCTCACACATCCCCAACCGTTTGCCTTCCGCCTTGGTGAGTGCTCTCTCTCAGTGTGAATGTTTGATTTCATAGTTACCACAATCAGTGAAACCGCCTTGGTACAATAATGGTCTTCTCCTTGATCACACCAGGTGAGCGTTTGTCCAAACCTGCTTCCTCTCTTGCATCTTCTTTTCATCGTCTTTTCGTCTTCATTTGATAGTCTTTCCATCTCATTTCCATCTCCTTTTCGTCTCCTTTTCATCTTCTCTACATCTTCAACCCATGTGGCAGGCGTGGGAGAAGTGATCAAGGGGTGGGACGTCGGCGTGAAAGGTGTGTGTGTGCGTGTGGGTGGGTTGGAAGGAAAGGGGGAAGACTGGGTGTGGGTGCTGGGCAGGCGTGAGAAGTGATCAAGGAGTGGGATGTCGGTGTGAAAGGTGTGTGGGGAATGGGGGGAGAGGTGGGAGGGGGGAAATGGGTGTAAGGGAAAGGGGGAGAGGCCTTTATGGGTGTACAGATGTGCGCACGTGCATGTGTATGCGTGTGTGCATGTGTATGTGTGCATGCCATGTGTATGTGTGCATGCCATGTGTATGTGTGCATGCCATGTGTAAGTGTGCATGCCATGTGTAAGTGTGCATGCCATGTGTAAGTGTGCATGCCATGTGTATGTGTGCATGCCATGTGTATGTGTGCATGCCATGTGTATGTGTGCATGCCATGTGTAAGTGGGCATGCCATGTGTAAGTGTGCATGCCATGTGTAAGTGTGCATGCCATGTGTAAGTGTGCATGCCATGTGTAAGTGTGCATGCCATGTGTAAGTGTGCATGCCATGTGTAAGTGTGCATGCCATGTGTAAGTGTGCATGCCATGTGTAAGTGTGCATGCCATGTGTAAGTGTGCATGCCATGTGTAAGTGTGCATGCCATGTGTAAGTGTGCATGCCATGTGTAAGTGTGCATGCCATGTGTAAGTGTGCATGCCATGTGTAAGTGTGCATGCCATGTGTAAGTGTGCATGCCATGTGTAAGTGTGCATGCCATGTGTAAGTGTGCATGCAATGTGTAAGTGTGCATGCCATGTGTAAGTGTGCATGCCATGTGTGTCTCTTGCTTCTCGCCTTTGCCTGCATTCACTGCTTTAGGGTTTACAGTGACCCTCGTCTCCCATCGCTTTCCACAGTCCCAGCCCTCTTGATGCCTTCACCTTGCAGGCCGGTTCTTCAATTTTCTTCATTTCAAACTTTGACATTTGTTTTCCATTCTTGTACAACTAGTCAATCCATTTCTTGCATCTTGCTCCCTGGGCTAAACCCTAAACCCGGGTCTCACCCCTCTGTATGCCTTCATCTTGCTTGGCCATGCAGGCATGCGAATTGGTGACAAGAGGCGCCTCACCATCCCTCCTGCCCTCGGGTATGTGCCATGCTGCTGTGCTGTTGGTGCTTCGTATGGTGCCAGGCTGTTTTATTCGTGCATGCATTCTCCTGCCTTTATCTTCTCAAGTCACCCATGCTCGAAACCTTTCAAGTGCCCCATACCCTACATACAAGGTGTATCAAAAGACTTTCTTTATTGCAGAAAGGTGCACTGATGGGTGCGGCACTGATGCCACCGTTGTCTCTCTCACGGACCCATATGCAGACTGAGGATGTGACTCTTCTCACAGCTCTACTTATCTCGCAACGCAAGTACAAACCCTTCCTTTATCCTGGGCTTCTTTTTCCTGCAGGTACGGCTTCAGAGGGGCCCCGCCCAAGATTCCCGGCAACGCCACTCTCGAGTTTGACGTGGAGCTCATTGGCGTCAAGTGATAGCTAGCTGGTAACCAGCAGTTCCAGTGCTGTAACCACTGAGCTTGGGTGTGGTAACCATCTGCATGAATTCTGTGGTAAAAGGAATCACTGGGCGATCCGTGGTGTCAAGTGAATATGATTCTTGTTTTAACGCGACTCAATAAGCTTGGTGCATCAACGGAGAATGAGGGATTTAGTCGTTTCTCCTTGCTTGGCAACTAAATAGAGAGGCAAATTAAAGTGGGAGGAAGAGATGCATATCTCAGTGTTCTAGGAGTACTCTCTAGTCTGCTTGTTCAACAAGTACTGTAGCAGACACATAGGGTGCAGGGAACTCGTACAGAAAAGAACGAATTAGAAAGTGTACGCTACCTTGCTGAGGCAGTGCTACATAGAAAACAGTATCAAACATCATGCATACACTACTACATGTAGGCTGCAAAAAATTAAGGGGGGTAGCACGTAACCTGGTGCTGCCAATGTCGCAGCACAGCACAGCGAGAATCAGATAATTAGATAGAATGGGCAAATGTGGAGCAAATGCAACAGGCCCACAAATAGCTAAGAGTAGGCGACTTGACGGTCATACCGTACCGTATTCAGCTTTTTGCGGCGTCTCAAATGAGTGAGCGGTCGTATTCAACCTTTGCACCTTATCTTAGGCCGTGAATGAATTGCATACTACCAAATACGGTAAAATGGACGAGTCTATCAAAATACAATTTGGAGAATGGGGAGGGGGAGAGAAGAGCAGAGGAGGGAGGTGGAGTGAAGGGTGTTACGAATAGTAACACTTGAATATTCCTGTCCACTCCTCACCGCAGCAAAGAGAAGCACGCAGTATCGCGAATGAACGCGAAGCGTCAGACAGTTGGAATCGACTCGAAGCGTCAGACAGTTGGGACGCATCTGAACCGTCGGAGCAGATAGCATCAGGCAGCTGCAGGCAGGATGGTTTCGGCGGGAACAGTTTCGTAACTGTTCGCGCCGCACGGTTGGGAATGTATTTGAATAAAGGAATGTACCCCTTAGAGTACATGGCTAGCTAGGTCGTTTCATCTCCCCTGTACTCATATTTATATTTGCAGTATTTGCATGTTTTAAATCATCTCAAAGCATTTTACATTCACTCTGCTATTGAGGTCAAGGGCCCACCAACATCACTTCTCTGCGTGCGAACCTTCCTGAGTAGATCCTAGGCCACGATCAACTTCCGATCGCAGCATGGTATGAGAGCGGCTTGGGAATCCTTCGCACTGCCACTCCCGAAAATTACGACATTCGGAAAGTGGCGTCCGGCACACGCTCGCGTGTGAGAATGGCCGGAGGATCTGGTGGTCAGACGAATCTGACGGCTGAAACGCAGCCCAACCCGGCTGCGACAAGCGAGGAAACGACGACGATCCCTTCCGCCGTCCTCGCACAACTGCTTCAGCGACTCACGAGCCTGGAGCAAGGACTCCAAACATTGCGGAATGGCGACGCGGGAACCTCTTCCCAACCCACTCAACCGGCGTCAAACGGCCAAAACTCCGCCCCGCAAGGCTTCTCCCTAGATACGAATGGCTCAACCCCCAAGACTCCCTGTCCCAGCGATGAAGCAATTCTCTCCGCGCAATCAAGGTTTTTGAGCATATAAAAAATAAAGACAAGTGTGTGCTTTGACGCCAGAGACTTTTACACCTGAAGCTTCGAGCTGGAACTGCTGCTGCAAAACGCGCAGATTTATTATTATTTTCGACGGGAGCTACTCGGGACCTGCTGAGGACACCGACGACGCCAGGACTCGCTATTATAACGAGTCCCTGATGGCGTACGGGATTCTTCTGCGTAACATGTCGCCGGCGGAGCAGCTGAACATTCGTTCATACAAGACATTGGCTGCCCCAGCCCTCGACGCTTGGCGCCACCTGAACGGCGTGTATCAGCCCAAGGACTCCATCTCCTCGAGCCGACTACTCCAGCAACTGCTGGAAACTAAGATGACCTCAGGGGAGAAGGTCAACAGCTACATCAACCGCTGTCAGAGCCTTCGCGATCAAATCGTGAAGTTGGGAAGCTCGATTTCCGAGGAAATCTTCGTGAACATTGTGCTTCAAGGGCTTGGCCCAGAGTGGCGGCCCTGCAAGGCGCTCCTCCGACAGCAGGGGGTCATCTCAGAGGCCGCCCTTTGCGCCGCCCTTCTCGCCGAACAACGGGATATGGATCAGCAGCGACCAGCGCCACGACGAGAACGCGAACGGCTCGCCTTCTACGCCGACAACAATGAAGAGCGACGACCGCGGCGCCTCTACTGCAAAATCTGCAGAAACTTCGGGCATTTGGCGGATCGATGTAAGTTCCGATCTCGCCCTCGCCAGACCAATCCGAGCAACTGGTTCGGCCGACAAGACGCACGAGGTGACGTGCGTCCAGCCCAAGGATATCAACCCCCACCCACACGCAATCTGAACTCAACCGTTCAGCATCAGCAACAGCAGCCATCAACTGCCCCTACGCGTAACGTCATGAGCAACATGGCCATGACAGGCGAGTCACGTCGTCGCCGTGTTCGCTCACCCTCACCTGAGCCAGCACCGCACCCCATCGGCGCGTTCACCAACAACAACACGTTCAGCCCGCGCCGCGACTTCAACGACGATGACGACCAGGACTGGAACCTCCTAGTCCCGCTGCTTGAAAGTCCCCCGCACATACCAGACATGCGGGTGGCGCTACTTGATTGGCTCTCGCGCGAGCAATTTCTGAAGTTCGACACCCCGCACATCGTCACACCGCGATTGGCGCTGCTCGCACGTGACGACAACAAGCGCTACAACACCTGGTACCTGGACAACTGCTGCGGCCAGCATATGGTGGGCTCCGAGCGTTACATATCCAACGCCGTCCCCACCCCTACAGTCACTTACGTCACTGTGGCGAACAACACGCGCCTGCGCGCAAGCGCACAAGGCATTGTCGTGCTCAAAGCACGTGGAAGCGGCACGCACATCACGCTTAACGATGTGCTGATCGTCCAGAACCTGCGCTTCAACCTCCTGTCCGCCGCACAGCTCATGGACTGCGGCGTCGACCTCAACACGGATCGCGCAACGCGAGACATCCTGCTGCACTACGAATCGCGCAAATTTCCCCGCAGGCAGATCGGACGAGCGCACTCCGAAAATAGAGTGTATGTCCTAGATTTTAGCATTCCCGACTGCAGCGGCGACTCGCACGGGTTGATTGATCTCGTGCCACTGCGCTTCGAGCACATCTACCGCAGGGATTGGAAGCACCCTGACGGCAGACCGTGGGTGCCGCATCATCCCCACCCACGCGAAACGGCGTTACACAACCCCGATCCAGATGGCATCTGCAGGGATTGTTACACGCCGACGACATCAACGAGCGCGATTGCCGGCCGCGGACTCGCCGCCATCGCTGAAGCAGAGCGCCACGCGCCCCTAGAGGAAGGGATGTCGCAGCTCGAGCTTGAAGTTACTACCCACGGCATTTTCAGCACGCCAGAGCATCCCCTCATCGGCTCCCCTTCACAGCACCTTCAAGGCATGCTGCGCGGAACTGGCGTCGGCACCTTTGATGCCCATGGCGAGCCGCGACCCTACACTTACGAGAAGTTTCTGGCCATCTACTCTCATCGACGCGACTCGTCGAAGAAACTCAGCGTGGAGCAAGAGGAAGAATTGGCGCGCCGCGAAGCTGAGGAGCTTCGCCAGCAAAGCCTCGCAGAAGCACGTGGGACCTTTGCTTGCGCCACCTGGGGAGCTGAGGCTGAAGAAAGTGCCTCCAATGAAGGGGGGTGGGGGAGCGCTGGAGGATGGGGAACAAGTGACACTAGCGGTTGGGGAGAAAACGGCGGAACCTGGGCCAACGCGAGCGGCGGATGGGGCGCCGCAACTAGCGCCGACAATAGCGGCTGGGGTACTTTCCGCGAAGAACGAAAGGGGGGAGAGGATGAAGCTGAGGAAACTGAGGCAACACCTGCAATCGTTCCTCTTGGTCGTCCCCCGCGTCACATTCCACTCGCACCACCTCCTCCTGACAACCCCCCGCGTCGCGATCCATGGGACACCATCATCTGGGGCAACAAGCTATCAACCCCGCGTCGCACCGTCTACGGACCTGCCCCTGAGCCACGCGAACCCACCTTCGTCCCTGGAACCATCCCCGGGACCAACATTCTGCTCTCTGAGATTCGCGACATAGAGTTCTTGGCGCTGATGCTGACTACCGCGCCAGAAGAAGAAGAAGCAGAGGGAGTAGCAGCAGAACCTGCTCCTGTACCTGAGGAAGATCCTGAGGAAGCGCGCACGCGCTACATGCGCACCTCCGGCTTTCACGCTGACGATACTCTCTGGCACCAGCGCCTCGAACACCCTTCACGCACGACGCTGAAAAACTGCATCGACGCATGCGTCTTCGCTCCTGGCGCACTCCTGCGCCCTGATGGCTCCAAAGTGAGAGGCGCGACACATCCGCGCAACTGCACCGTCTGCCCCGAAGCTGCGCTGAGCCACCAACTGTTCCCACTGCTCGAACCTGGAACAAGCCGTTACCCCAAGCTGCACAAGGTGTACAACGATTTCCTGAACGTGGGGCATTGCGGAGTCGAGGACGAAATGTACACGCTTACCTTCATCGACGCTGGAACGCGCTACGTGTGGGTCGTGAACGTGGAGTCACGCGACAGAGCCTACGAGGTGTTTCGCCTCTGGCTGGCGCACGCAGAGCGACAGTCTGGGAAGAAGCTGAAAATCTGGCAATCTGACGGCGCGGCAGAATTCATGAGCAACCTGATGCAAACCTACCTCACGCAAAAGGGGATCGAGCACCACACTTCTCTCCCCTACGCGCATTAGCAGCAGGACGTAGCTGAGCAGACGAACCGCACGCTAATGACGAAGGTGCGCGCGCTGATGAAGCAGTCGAAATTGCCGCCGATCTACTGGACCTACGCGAGCACCACGCCGTGCGGGTGCACAACCTACTTTCGACCACCGCCATCACCGTCAATCTGTCCCCGCACGTCAAATGGACCGGGTTCAAAGGGGATACCTCCATGCCGCGCGAATGGGGGTGCATGGTTCAATACCGCCCGCCGACTTCAACCATCGGCTAATTCGCCAGCCGTGCGCGCTGGGGGATCCATCTCGGCATCAGTCACGAGTACAAGGCGTGGATCGTGCTGGACCTCCTCAGTCAGAAAATCGCTCACGCTCGCGACGTCATCTTCTACGAGCGCCTCTTCCTCGACCAGTTCCGCCGCGACGAAGAAATGAACACGAACCGCGTCTACGCGAACGATGGCCACAGCTACGCAACGCCCGAAGACGAAGCCGCTCCAGCAATCTTGGAGCAGGACACGAGGGGCGAGTTCGTGTGGGAAGAACGACGCAGCAGCGACGACGACGACGACGATTCCTCGGGAGGAGGAATGGGCGCAGCAGGCGGAAGCGGAACAGGCGGAAGCGGCAGAGGCACAGCACCACCAGCGCCTCCTGAACCAGAAAGCGATGACGACGACGTACAGGAAGTCATCCCGCAACGTCGCCACGACAGCACTATCTCAGGACTGCAGCTGCTCGGGCTTCACACCGCAACTTCGAAGGCGCCACGTGTCATCGAGCCTCGAAATCCGCGCGAAGCTCTTTCTGGACCACACAGCAAGTGTCAGAATCCCAACCACTAGACCATTGGGATAAAAGGGCTTGTTTCAGTAGCGGGTCAGTGCGCCCATAACCCCCCAGGCAAACGCGCCTGTAACCCTCTCCAGGATCGATCGGGCATCCACACTGCAGATCTACTGACACCCCCCCACACTGGGAGGCCCAGGACTAAGCACAGCGGCACCGGCCTACATGTGCATACACCGGGAATCGAACCCGAGATCGCTCTAATACCATGTCAGAATCCCAACCACTAGACCATTGGGATAAAAGGGCCTTTTTCAGTAGCGGGTCAGTGCGCCCATAACCCCCCAGGCGAACGCGCCTGTAACCCCCCCTAGGATCGATCGGGGATCTCACAGTGTAGCTCTACTGACAGTAAGGAATGGCACGAAGCAATGGACGTAGAGATCAAGGCGCTGGAGTCACGAGACACCTGGGTGCTAGTCGACCGCGCGGCGATCAAAGGCGCAAGAATCCTCGCGGGGAAGTGGGTCTTTCGCGTGAAAACCGTAGCGGACGGAACGATCGAGCGCTTCAAGGCGCGTTGGGTGGTTCGCGGCTACGATCAGAGGCATGGCATCGACTTCGACCAGACGTTCGGCCCAGTTAGCCGCCATACCTCCGTTCGAATCGTGCTCGCCATTGCAGCTGCAAGGCACCTACCACTCCGCCAGATCGACGTGAAGAACGCGTTCCTGTACGCGTTAGTGGACGCCGTGATCTACGTGGAGCAGCCGCACACCTACGGCGGAGGGGACTCGCGCGTGTGCCAACTGCGCAAGTCACTCTACGGGATCAAACAGGCTTCGAGGCTGTGGCAGCAGTACCTGCACAACATCCTGCTTGAAATCGGATTCAAGCAGATGCCACACGATCCAGGGATGTATCGCCGCGAATTCCGCGAGGAATACATTCTCCTCACGGTGTACGTCGACGACCTGCTTTACACAGGCTCAAACAACGAGCTTCTCGAGCAGTTCGAGAAGGTCTTGGCGGGGCGCGTCGACATCACGTGCAACTACGAGGTGAAGTAGTTTCTAGGCCTCAACATCTCCTACGTGCCTGAGGCCATTCATCTCTCAGCGGCTAAGTACGCAGAGAAGTTAGGGAAGCGATTCAACATTTCACCTGCACCTCTCTTAACTCCCTACCGAACTCCCGGACCGAACCACAAACCCGACAACAAACCCCTATCCCCTGCTGGGATTCAGACTTACCAGCAGCAGTTGGGATGCCTCCTCTTCGCCTCTGTCACCTGCAGGCCAGACCTCTCGTACATCGCCAGTCAGCTGGCGCAGTACTCACGCAAACCAACGGCTGAGAATCTTCTGGATCTGCAGCGCGCCCTTCAGTTCTTCATTTCAACGCCCAAGATTGGGCTGTGCTACTCAACTGCACCAACTCCATCCTTCAACCTCATCGGCTATGTGGACGCCGATCACGCAGCAGACCCCGATAATCGACGGTCCAGGACTGGCTTCCTGTTTCGACTCGAGCCAACGGGACCAATCTCCTGGAACTCGCAGAAGCAGGAGCTGGTTGCCCTGTCGTCAGCCGAAGCGGAATTCATCGCAGCAACCGCAGAAGTTCGCGAAGGCCTCTACTTGCAGGAACTCCTGCAAGAGGCGAAAATTCCAGCTTCGTCCACATTTCGCCTTCACTGCGACAACCAGAGCGCGATTCGCATCGCGAACAAACCTGATTTCGTCAACCGCACCAAGCACATTGCGCTGCAGTACTTCTTCGTGAAGGATGAGGTGGACAAGGGCAAGGTCAACTTGACCTACTGCCCGACCGGTGACATGGCAGCAGACTTCCTCACGAAGCGATTGCCACGCCAGCAGTATCAGCACTGCTCCGAACTCATCGGCGTGGTCAAGCAGGTCAAGTCGAGCTACGGCCAGGAGTGAAGGGGGGTGTTACGAATAGTAACACTTGAATATTACTGTGCACTCCTCACCGCAGCAAAGAGAAGCACGCAGTATCGCGAATGAACGCGAAGCGTCAGACGGTTGGAATCGACTCGAAGCGTCAGACAGTTGGGACGCATCTGGACCGTTGGAGCAGACAACATCAGGCAGCTGAAGGCAGGATGGTTTCGGCGGGAACAGTTTCGTAACTGTTCGCGCCGCACGGTTGGGAATGTATTTGAATAAGGGAATGTACCCCTTAGAGTACATGGCTAGCTAGGTCGTTTCATCTCCCCTGTACTCATATTTATATTTGCCGTATTTGCATGTTTTAAATCATCTCAAAGCATTTTACATTCACTCTGCTATTGAGGTCAAGGGCCCACCAACATCACTTCTCTGCGTGCGAACCTTCCTGAGTAGATCCTAGGCCACGATCAACTTCTGATCGCAGCAAAGGGGAGTGGAGGGAAGAGAGGAGGGAACAGTAACTTGGAGCAGGGCTCTTGCTAGGATTTAGGCCTGTCTGAAGTCCCCCCCCCCAAAAAATCGTTTTGTCTGACGTTCAAACGGGCAAAAAAAAAAAGTCTGATTCATAAGACAAAATGTTTTCCATGGTCTGTTTGCTGCATTACACTAGTCAGCCATGAAAACGGTATGATTCAGTCTTTACGAAGTACGAAATGAATGCGCGACGTTGACAACCTGCTAGCAGACATTCATAGCAAGTTGGGCGCCTAGGGGGACTGGGGGGGGGGGGGGGGGGGGAGTTGGGCTGCGAGGGACATGCATGGGTGGGTCCGTGTCTTACGCGACGGACCAGGGGGGTGGAGGGACTTGAGGGGAAGGGGGCTGGGCTGGGAAAGGTGTAGGGGAGCTAGGCGGGGGAAGGGGGGATGGACTGGGGTTGCGCAGCGAGAGGCTGGGCTGGTAGAGGGGTGACTTGGTGGTGAGGTTGGGTTAGGAGAAGCGCGTGACTTGTTGGCGTCTCAAGGGGGGTTGGTTTCCTCCGGGGATCTCCTTAAAGCCCCAAAAAAAAAAAAAAAAAAAAGGGGGGGGACTGAGGGGAAGGGGGGGGGGGTGGGAGGGGGAGGGGGCAGGCCAGTACGGTACTTTCTCGGTATCAGATGAAATTGTACGCGCTTTCTGATTTTTCAGACGGAATATAACACTTAGTCATTTTTTTCAGACGAAATAAAATCATTCGTCTTGTGGTTCAGATGAAAAAAAAACTATGGTCTGGAAGATCAGATGAAACAAAGAAATCAGGTCTGATTTTCAGACCATCAGACCGATTTGGTCTGATAACCAGAGCCCTGACTGGGAGGGGATTGGCGGAGTTGAGAACACAGATCATGATGCGCAATTGACCAGAGGAGGGTCAAGGGTGAAGGGAAGGGAAGGGAGGAGTGAGGGAGAAGAGAAGGTAGGAGGAGAGGACTGCACTCCTGAAGCCACATTGTGGCCACATGGTGGCCTCCAAACCAACCCCTTCACCACCACAACGGCCCCAGAGACGCCAAGCCCCCATCATCCCCAGCGCCCCCCCAGAGACCCCCAAGCGCACCCCAAGCCCGCCCACCCACGGAACTCCCGCCAGCCTGAAGCCACATGGTGGCCTCCAAACCAACCCCTTCACCACCACAACAGCCCCAGAGACGCCAAGTCCCCGGCACCCTCAGAGCCCCCAAGCCCACCCTCCCACGAGCCCCCTCGGTTGTGCGACATGGCTGGGCGAGTCGCCTGGACTCTCAGACAGCACTCCTGTTAGCCAGCAGTCCCATTGTGCCTTCCGTGGCAGTCATACCATCACCAACCCCCTCACCCTTCACCAACCCCCTCACCCTTCACCAACCCCCTAACCCTTCACCAACCCCCTCACCCTTCACCAACCCGCTCACCCTTCACCAACCCCCTCACCCTTCACCAACCCCTCACCCTTCACCAACCCGCTCACCCTTCACCAACCCCTCACCCTTCACCAACCCCCTCACCCTTCACCAACCCCACAACCCTTCACCAACCCCCTCACCCTTCACCAACCCCCTCACCCTTCACCAACCCCTCACCCTTCACCAACCCCTCACCCTTCACCAACCCGCTCACCCTTCACCAACCCCTCACCCTTCACCAACCCCTCACCCTTCACCAACCCCCTCACCGCCACGACCACTGCCCCCAGCGCCCCCAGAACCTCCAAGCCCGGCCTCCCAGGAACCCCCACGGTTATGCGACAGGCCAACCCCACCGTGACTGGGTGAGGCGCCGGGACTTTCAAACGGGCGGCTGGGACTGTCAAGTGGGCGGCCAGGGCTGTCACGCAGGCGGCTGGGGCTCTCCCCCGGGCGGCCGGGAGATGACAGGGCGGCGGGCAATGCCCCTCGTTCCGGGCTGGCGGGCGGCAGAGAGGAGGACGCATGCAGCTTCTTGGTCAGCCAGCCCCGCAGGCCGGCTTTCTTCGTCCCCTTCTTCTTCCCCTTCTTCCCTCCACCACCACCACTGGTGCTTCCGTCCCCACGGTCCCCTTCGATGCTCTCTCCTTCCACACTCTCCCCGTCGATACTCTCCCCCTCGGTATCCTCAGCATCCCCCCCTCGCTCTGACATTGACTCTCGCTCGCTCACTGAATCCCCGTCACCCTCCTGCTGCTGCTGCTGCTGCTGCTGCTGCTGCTGCTGATTCTGATACTGCTGCTGGTACTGATACTGCTGCTGGTATTGCTGCTGCTCCTGCTGCTGCAGGCTGCTGCTGCTGCTCCTGTTGCTTCGAACCCCTGTGCTGTTCCTGTTGCTACCACCAGCATCACCACCAGCACCACCACCACCATCAACACTACCCTGCACACTCCCCCCCCCACTCATCCTCCCCATGGACCCTCCCACCGCTCCCAACCGTCCTGCACCGCCCACTCCCCCATTAGACCCAGCAGCAGCGCCCAGTTGCTCCTTGGTGGCAGCAGCAGCTGCAGCTCTGGCTGCTGCAGATGCCACGAAGCTGCTCCCCACAGTACTCTCCTTCTCTCCCTTCTCCTTCCTCCTCCTCTCCTTCTCCCTCTCCTTCTCCTCCTTCTCCTTCTTCTTCTCCTTGCCTTCCTTGCTCTTGGCACCTCCTAGAGACTTGCTGATTCCAAACAGCAGCCCCTTGCCCTTGCCCTGAGCCCCACCTGACGACTGCGACTCAAGCTGCTTCTCCTCCTCCCGTCTGCCACTGCCACTGCCACTACCACTACCACCTTCACCCAACCCAGCACCAGTGGCAGCATCGAGACCAGAATCAGCACCAGTAATACCATCACCATCACCACCAGAAGCAGAAGCACCAGCAGGGGCACCCGCACCAGCACTAGCAACAGCGCTGCTGCCCTGGATAGAGAGATAGTAAGCCCGTTTCTCATCTCCTTGCCCATCCCTAGGTTGCAGCCTGCTCTGCCCACCCTGCCCAGTCTGCCCACTCTGCCCACTCAGCCCGCTCTGCATCAGCCCCACCTCCTGCTCCTCCTCCGCCCCTCGGCTACTCACAGGGGTGCTGCTGCCGCTGCTACCAGCCCCGCTGCCAAACCCGCTGTTCATGCCGCTGTTCATCCCACTGGCAGGGCCGCTGTGGTAGCTATGCGGGGTCCCTGTACCTGTGCCTGTGCCGCCCGTGCTGCCCACGTGCGGCATGCCCAGATGCCGCCCTGACGCCCCTGCTGCTTCGGCTTTCTGGCGGGCTGCGGCTGCTGCCGCAAAGACAAGGCTGCTTCCCACGTTGCTCTGCCGGCCCTTCTTCTTCTCCTCCTTGGGCTGCTGCTTGCGCTGCTGCTTCTGTGACTCCTGCTGCTGCTGTTGCTGCTGCTGCTGCTGCTGCTGCTGCTGCTGCTGCTGCTGCTGCTGCTGCTGCTGCTGCTGCTGCTGCTGCTGCTGGAGTTGCTGCTGCTGCTGCTGCTGCTGTGGCTGCGGCTGCAGCTGCTGCTTCTTCTGCTGCTGCTGCTGCTGCTGAGAGAGTTGCTGGTGGTGCTGGTGATGAGGAGACGTGTTGGAGAGCGACTGGCTGTGATGAGAACTGGAGGAATGAGCGGGGGATGAAGGCTCCATGGTTCCCTTGTCCCCATGCCCACCCCCATGCCCATGCTCATGCTTTTCCACACTACCACAGCTGATTTCGCTGCAGCTGCTACCTGCCCCTGCTGCAGCCGAACCTGCTGCCGCCGAACCTGCGGCTGCCAAAGCAGCAGCTCTGGCTCGGGCCGCAGCAGCAGCCACAAAGTCGCTCCCGACGTGACTCTCCTGCTTTTGCTTCGCATGCTTCTGCCCTGAGAACAGCCCCAAGCCATGCCCATGCTCATGTGACAAATGTGAGTGTGCATGATCGTTTGCATGTGCATGCGCATGTTCATGTGCAGGCGAGGCTGCATGGCCATTCTTAAACCCCCAGTTACCGAAGACCCCATGCTTGTGATTACCGTCTTGACTCTGCACACCCCCATGCTCATGCTGCTTTCGCCCTGGTGATGCGTGCACACCATGCCCTGGTGATGCATGCATGGCATGTCCTGGTGACACATGCACACCGTGTGGTGCTGACCCATGCATGGCATGCCCTGGCGATAGATGCATGGCATGCCCATGCTCCCCATCTGCCCCATGCACCACCTGCCCACCATGCCCCCCACCCGCATGCCCTTCTGCCTGCCCGCCACCCCCATGCCCATGCCCATGCCCATGCCCATGCGCATTGGCATCAGCCGATCCTGCCCCCGATCCTACCCCCGATCCTGCCCCCTCACTATGAGCTCCGGGTGCCGAAGCAGCAACTCTGGCTCGGGCCGCAGCAGCCGCCACAAAGTCACTGCCGACATGACTCTCCTGCTTCTGCTTCCGATGCTTCTGCCCTGAAAACAGCCCCAAGCCATGCCCATGCGCATGATCGTGTGAGTGAGAGTGTGCATGTGCAAGTGCATGCTCGTTTGCATGGTGGTGCAGTGCGTGTGCAGGCGAATGTGCATGGTCATGTGATTGTGCCTGCCCATGCTGCCCGTGCTGCTGCCCGTGTTCCTTGTGCTCCTTCCCCTTGATCAAATTCCCAATCCACCCGCCCGCGTTGAACCGTTTCCGTTTCTCCTCACTCGGCGTGTGCCCCTCTGCGTCCGACCCATACCCTGCAGGTGTGAGAGGGGACGGCTGGAGAGGAAGGTCTAACAGTGAGTGCTGGTTGCTGCTGTTGTTGCTGCCCCCACCTTGGTACTCCTTTTGCTTATTCATGTGCTGCTGCTTCAATTGCTGCTGCTGCTGCTGGTGTTCCTCCTCGTCCTCCTGATCCTGCTCCTGCTGCTGCTGCTCCTCCTGCTTGTGCTGCGACTGCAGGAACGTCTGGTGCTTGTACGTGGCATCACCGTGCCTATTGTAAACCATGCCGTCACCAGTGCCACCACCCCTACCACCCACACCGCCCTTGTCAGTGACACAAGTGCTCACACCCGCATCAGCCACAGGTGCTGCTTCCCCTGCTACACCTGTAACTGGCACCCCAGTATATCCTCCTGCTCCTCCTGCTATCCCTCCTGCTGCTGCTGCTGCTCCTCCCGCTCCTGCTGCCACTGCAACTGCAGCAGCCGCAATCTCTGCAGCAACTAGCTTGCCTGCCGCATCAGGTACAGCTGTCACAGATACACCCTCCTCCTTTGCCTTACCCCCCTCCTCTTCTCTCCTCCCCTTCTCCCCTTCCTCCTTTCCTCCCCCACTCTCCCCCTCTCCTCCCTCCGCTTTCTCACTCTCAGCAACCATCTTCTCCCTCCGCTCCCTCGCCTCCTTCCGCCTCGCCCGCTCCTTCTTCCTCCTCTCCTTCCGCTCCTCCTCCGTCTCCTCCTCCTCCTCATCGTCATCATCCAAGGGGATTGGGCAGTCCCCATCGGGATTCACGAGATACGCCTGGGGCCCATCAGGGTACCTGGAAGGGGGTTGACAGACGCAAAAAAAGCGGACAGGGTGAGAAAATACTTTCCTTCCTCTCCTCCTCCGTCTCCTCCTCCTCTTCATCGTCATCGGCATCATCCAAGGACCGAGGGAATCGGCCAGTCCCCATCAGGATTAACGAGGTATGCCTGTGGCCCATCGGGGTACCTGCATGCATTGAAGAAACGCAGGGGGGGGAGATTGAGGGGTGCAGGGGGCGCGGGGGTCACGAACAGACAGTCCCCATCCGGATTAACGAGGTATGCCTGTGGCCCATCGGGGTACCTGTGAGTTGAGTTGACAAGGGTGTCAAAAACGGGAACGAATGAGAACAAAGGGGAACGAACGAGAACAAAGGGGAACGAATGAGAACACAACATTCCTTCTTCCTCCTCTCCTTCCGCTCCTCCTCCATCTCCTCCTCCTCATCGTCATCATCCAAGTTGATCGGACAGTCCCCATCAGGATTCACAAGATATGCCTGGGGCCCAAATTACTCTCCTTCCTCTCCTCCTCCGTCTCCTCCGTCTCCTCCGTCTCCTCCGTCTCCTCCGTCTCCTCCGTCTCCTCCTCCTCCTCATCGTCATCATCCAAGAGGATCGAGCAGTCACCGTCAGGATAAACAAGGTATGCCAGTGGCCCATCGGGGTACCTATGGGTTGAGTTGACAAGGGTATCAGAAAGGGGAACGAATGAGAACACAGCATTCCTTCTTCCTCCTCTCCTTCCTCTCCTCCTCCGTCTCCTCCTCCTCCTCATCGTCATCATCGAAAGAAATCGGGAAGCCACCATCGGGATTCACAAGATAAGCCTGGGGCCCACTCACGGGACCTGTGGGGTTGAGAAATGCATCAGACAGGAGAAAGAGAGACACAATGCTCTTATTGAATCGACTAAAAAACGGGTATGCATACGTGGGTGGGTTTACCCCGGGTTCCCTTACAAGGTAAACCAGAAAATGCTTCACTTTTTATTTTGTCAATGGCACACAGCAACATTGATTCATACACACGGTATAGATGACTCCAACACGCCTTCTATGCCAGCGCTATGACCTTCCCAACGCACTTCGTCACACCCCAACGCACCTCTCTCCACACCCCATCGCACCTCTCCACACCCCCCGCACCTCCCCACACCCCACCTCACCTCATCACAACGTCACGCACCTCTTCACGCAAGTCAAGGACGATCCCACCACACCACGCCTCGAACTCCACTCGTCAGCCCAGCAAGCGCCTCCCCCAGCATCACCCGCCCCTCCTCCGTCACCCGCCCCTCCTCATTCGCTCACCTCGTTACTATACCGCTTTACACCGCAATGCACCTCTTCACACCACAACGCACCTCTTCACACAAGCCATGGACGATCCCACCACGCCTCGAACCCCACTCGCCAGCCCAGCAAGCGCCTCCCCCAGCATCACCCGCCCCTCCTCCGTCACCCGCCCCTCCCATCCTCCCTGGCCGCTCAGAGCCTTAGCGGAGGAGTGGGGTGTGATTGTAACCCCTGTGACTGTAGCGAGCGCCTGGGAGAAGCTTCTTAGAAGGTCTCGGGCGTGGGCCTTGGAGAGCGGGTTGTATCCCAGCAGCACGAGGACCAACCCCGGGTTGTGCCTCTCAAACAAGACGATTATTCGACCGTATCCCTGAGAATAAGTGGGGGTTTAAGGGGGGGGGGAGAGGATGAGGGATAAATAGGAAAGCGAGTTGTAGCCTAGCAGCACGAGGACCAACCCCGGGTTGTGCCTCTCAAACAAGACGAATATTCGACCGTATCCCTGAAATAAGGGGGGACCGAGGAAGGGAGGAGGGCGTGGGCATTGGAGAGCGGGTTGTATCCCAGCAGCACGAGGACCAACCCCGGATTGTGCCTCTCAAACAGGACGAATATGCGACCATATCCCTGAGAGGTGAGGAGAGGGACGGGAAGGAGAGGGTAGAAGGAAGGGAGGAGGGCGTGGGCATTGGAGAGCGGGTTGAGACCCAGCAGCACGAGGACCAACCCCGGACTGTGCCTCTCAAACAAGACAAATATCCGACCGTATCCCTGAGGATCAGGTGGGAAGATATAAGGGAAAGGGAGGGGGAGGGGGGAAAGGGGATAAGGGGGAGTGGGGAGAGGAGAGGGAATGGGAGAACGAGCGCATGGGCCTTAAAGAGCGGATAGTAGCTCAGCAGCACGCGGAGAATGCCTGGTTTTTAGAGTAACATCCCATGTGCCTTCTTCTCGTTCCCCCTTCCCATCTCTCTCACCCCCCCCCCAAAAAAAAAACACCCTCTTCCCTCCTCCACAACTTCCTGCTCTCGCTTTCCCTTCTCTTTTTTCCAAACATTTTATAAGAGCACTCACCATGAGGAGAAAAAAAAAAAAAAAAAAAAAAGACCAGCTTTTATTCTACAATGAGGGAAAACGGAGCTACAAGAGCAACGAGAGGAACGACGAACTAGAGACGAAAGATATGAAGAGCATCACATTTAGATAAACAATTTATACTCCAGACGGAGCTGTAAAATCGTCAGACGGACTCCATTTCCGACATGCTTTCTTGAACAGTATACTCGAAAAACAAATAGCTAAAAGACGATTAGTGGTATGGTCCTTGGTGGTTCCGAATGCTAGTATTTTATTCGTCTCCTATGCTTCATGAGGATACATTCACGAGATAACTTTCAAGAATAAATTATAACGTCTACTCGCTAAACTCATGGACTTACCATGGAATATTGGGCGAAATGATGTGGCAAGTTCTCGAGAGCCTTCGGCAATGCATCGCGGATAGCGTCAGCATCCCTCCCGTATTCCGCCAGAATCCCCGCGCCATTAGCCGCTCCGATATAACCTACAAGCTCCTGCTCTTCCTGAGGCTCGCTCTCATCCGGCTCTATGTTTCCGCCTGCCGGCTTGTCCGGATCTTCCGGAGCCAATGGGCCTTCCACGTCATCGACGACATTTTTCGGCGCAAGACCGTTTTCTTGCGTCGCATGTATGATTTTTTTCTGAGATTGATTGGCTTCTGAGATGTTTGGTTGTTGGACCTCCACCCCTCTCTCCATGGTGGAGGTATCACAACGGCACAAGCATTTAGGAACAGAACATCGATAAATACGAGGCGACGAAACCCTAAAATATGGAAACGAGGGTCACGAACGGGGTAAGAGGACGTAAGGAAGCCTTTGAAACTGGCGTTTAAATTTCTGCGGTCTTGGAGGATTACTCTTTACTTCAATACAGTGGATAGCGAATGAACTCTTGGTGCCTCTTCGGGAATCGCACATAAGATGGGGGAGTTTTACGAGAAATGCAGAGCAGAACCTAGGAAGTGGTGGTAGTTGGAGGGAGGGTGGGAGAGAGGGGATTGAAGAGGAGATGCCGCTGCGACCCACTCTGTTCAATTACAGCAATGATTGTTGAGCAAGCCAAAACGGCTCGATTCATTTGTACGTTCATTGTATCAAGCGGTACTTGAATCTCTCTGGTCGGCACTGCTAGTTCATTTTCTTATGCCTCGGAATATGTAAATTTGAAAACGATTTTCTTTTCAGCCGTTTTGAACAACGGAGCACCCAGTTAGAACGCAAAAAACCTACAGCAGAGGTTCCATACCAATACCCCCTTCCATATCATTTCACCCCCCTCGTCATACAAGCGATCTCTCGTCTCAGCACGTCACAACCCCGAGTCTTGACCTGTGCCGAGAAATAGGCCCTCACGCCTTGGGAATCTTTGTTGCTGACGAGATCAGTCCAAAAAATGTTCATATCAGGGCATCATTTGCGCCAATCAAGCCTTAGAGTTTGGTCAAATGACGACCTGACGCCGTCGATTCCGCAAATGTCCGCTTATTTTACCACCGTACTTAAACGTTCTTACATGCACAGAACCTCCAGGAAACAGGCGGTACCTCGCCGACCATAATTGGTCGATGTGGGATGTTTTTTTTTTAATCCACTAAGGTCGCGGTTCTGGGCGAAGTTTGCCCGCCATCAGCTCAAAATGGCAATCAATGACGTGTAAAAAACACTCTACCATTGGTCGTCACACAAGTTTCCAGATATATTGGAGCATGGAAGCCAATCAGACGTGTACTTCCGTCTACACTTGTCCCTACTTTGGATGGCGGGCGAACTTCAAAACCGCGATCTAATGCAACCGCCAGAAGCATTTGGCGACTGTAACAACTTGCTGCCTAGTCCAATCTGTTGAAACCGAGCTTTGGGTTCACGTGCATCCATGTGGGTTTGATTTCGCGGTACAGTCAAACTTCATTACTAAAACAACAGATACCCTGGCGACAAGTGCGTGAAACGAGTTATGGCAGTTCTCTCATATTAGCCCTTTCGCCACACGCGAAATTGTGATTGTAAAGTGACAGTGGAATGTGAATGTTGAAGTTCTGTATCCAGGTAAACATTTATGATTACATATGCGGTAACGTATGCAGGTGACAACCCTTGCTGTTTATCAAATGTATCCAGGTAAACATTTATGATTACATATGCGGTAACGTACGCAGCTGACAACCCTTGCTGTTTATCAAATGTATATGATGGCTTCCGCAACTTGGCACAATGCTCAGTTTAGCAATTCGCGAGAAAAAAAAACAAGATCGCTAATGAGTAAATTTCTGATTTCATTTAGCCAAAAAATGTATAAGTTGAATATTGACTGTACTGTGGGCTCATCTCGATAAACATACCCTTCCAAGTTTGTTTCATCCGTTAGAAATCAATTGAAAGAGATACTAAAGGCGGGTTGGAATTACCACAATCTGAGGGGAGGCATGAGCTAGTATATCAGTGTCAAGATAGTAACTTAGTAATTCAAGAAAGAGTTGGCCAAAGAGGGGTTGCAATAACAAATAAGGTACAAGATGTAAGAAATGGGAGGAGGTCAAAATATGTATACCACCTAACGAATATATATGATGATACTACACTATTAGCTATGCATGTGATTATATAAGAATTTCGTATTTTGAGATCCCCCCTTAATCGCATGCTAGTCTAGTTAGTGTAGGGGCTCATCTCGAAGCACTGACGTCACATCGCCGATAGCTGCTCTCACCGCCGGGTATGGTGGAATGCTCACCTGCGGGTCTGCGCAACGAGGAACGACGACGCCAGATACGACGGATAGAGAATAGACAAAGAAAGCAGTACTTGCAAATCTCTCTTTCTCTCTCTCTCTCTCTCTCTCTCTCTCTCTCTCTCTCTCTCTCTCTCTCTCTCCCTCTCGCTCTCTCTCTCTCTCTCTCTCTCTCTCTCTCTCTCTCTCTCTCTCTCTCTCTCTCTCTCTCTCTCTCTCTCTCTCTTTCATCCCCCCTTAACCTCTCCTCCCCCCCCCCCTTACAGCAACTAGTGTTGCAGGAAGAGAGGAAGAGGGAAGGGAGGGACGGGTATGGTGGAATGTGCGGAGAGTCACTCTACAACGGTAATAAGCTAGACTACGGGGGTTGGCACGAACTACTAGGAGTGATCGTAGCTTTGCTTGGTTCCTTAGTGCTTGCACATTCACGGGAGAAATCGGCAAGAGTTTTCACTAGCAAAGTTGGAATTCCGGAATGATTGAACAAGCAATGTCAGAATGACTACATCAGACACCTAGCAACCTTGCAGCTAGCCTGGTTGACCGCCAGCACAGCTCGGTCGACCGCCTGCCAGCGTTGCGTAGAGGGGCCGCGCCAGCACTGCGGAAACCTACCAAACAGAGCAGGTTGACGGCGTGCCAACGCTGCAGCAAAGCGGCTGTCCAGCGTTGCCCCGTAGAACACAGCAGTGCGCACGGTCGCAGGTGCGCGCAGACAATTGGCCCGACTTGCCTCGTTGGGCATTCGTCGGCTGTTGTCTGCGCCTGACAAGCCACATTGACTTCGGGATACCAGCCCTCAGTCGCCTTCGCCATCGCAACCTCGACGACGTTCGCGTGCCTCGACAGAACTCGTCGAGCAGGTTACCCGGACGACCACCAGGTGCTTCCGGTCGACCACCACTGCTTCTGGTCGATCCCCAGGTCCCTCTAGTCGACCACAACTCCTGTCGAGCTACCCCCTGGTCGACGGCCTCCAGCAGCTCTTTCAGCTCCTTCAGCATCGCGGTGCTGCTGCTGGCGGCGAGCAGGTCGTCGACGTAGACCAGCACCCATCAGGTCACTCCGTCGTCGCCGGCCTTGAAGTAGAGCGCCTCGTCGACCTGGCTCTTCTTCCAGCCAGCGCCCAGCAGCACACCGTCGAGAGCCGTGTACCACAGCAGCGGCGACTACTTCAGCCTGTAGAGGCTCTTCAGCAGCTTACAAACCCGGCCGGTCCCGTCGTCGAAGTAGTCCGGCTGGTACATGTAGAGCACCCTGTCGAGCTTGCTTTGTAGGAAAGCGTTCTTCATGTCGCGCTGCATCAGGTTGAGGTCGAGGACGGCGACGATGCTGAGGAAGATCCTCAGCGTGACGTAGCTGCTCACCGGCGAGTACGTCTCGTCGTAGTTGGCACCGTACACCTGCGTGAAGCCCTTCACGACCAGCCTCGCCTTCTCGCGCTGGATGATGTCGTCAATGCGGTACTTGGTCGTCAGCAACCACCGGTTCTTCATGATGTTCACCCCACGTGGGCGTTCGACCAGCTCCCAAGTGCCCATGCCGATGAGGCTGCGTATCTCTTCTTCCATGGCGGCCTTCACCGCCTCGCCCTTCCAGCTCGACAGCGCCTCCTTCACCGTCATCCTGGCGATGTCCCAGCGGTGTTCGAGGCCGGTATGCATGTCGGGGTCAAGCTCTGGCATGTCTTCATCCTCCTCGGCGTCGTCGTACAACAGGTCGTCGTCGACCTCGTCGAACACCGTGATGAAGGCAGTTGGCGGTAGGCAGGAGTGGAAGCTCAGCCGCTCCAGTGGCCGTCGAGCTCGACCTGTGCGTCGCAGCTCAGGCTTCGTGATCGGCACTTCCACCACGTCGCTTTCGGTTGACTCCTCACCCGCCGACTACTCCCCTTCCTCATCGACGTCCTCGTCGTCGACCAGCTGCTTCGATCCTTCGACCGGCTGCTCGTCTGCTGCTGACTTCGACAGCTCCCCTGTCGACCGCCCCGGCTGCTGCTCCCCTGTCGGCTGCACCGCTGCTGTTGCCTCTTGTTCGACCAGCTCCCCTGTCTGCTGCTCCTCTGTTGCCGACGGCTTCCCATCCTGGTCGACGAGCTTGGCGCCTTGTCGACCGCCGGCGATGCCATGGGCCGGCGCCACAGGTGACGCCTCAAGGCTCCCCTCATCGTCGGTGGTCGACACAGGTGCCGACCCAGGCCGATCTGCGACGGGGAACAGAGAAGCAAGGACAGGGGGAGGGGGAAAAACCTCCACAACATCCTCAAC